TGGAGATAATGGCTTGCCAATGGAGGGATTAGCAGTAAATTATCAAAAGAAGAAAAATAAGATTTGAAAGATGTGGTGGCTATGAAATATCGTTACTAGAAACAGCTTAAGAGCATCGTGAAGCTCACCTCAGGGGTCTTATCTCTTTCAAGGCTGCAATCTCATATTCTCTCCTACTGCAGTAGATTGGCATTTTGATTACAGTAAAGAAAAATGGTGCTTGGAAATCAGAACTGACAGAACATCATGTTCCTCCAGGGGTATTTTTGTAGACATCGCTTATTTAAGTTTGATTTCAGAATTGTTCTGTGGTACATCTCATTTTGATATATGGTTGTTTAAAATTCGTGTGAATGCCTACATAATTTAAAAATGAATTGATAACATTTGGAAACAGAAGAGCCTTAAAGAAAAAGAAGAACTAATGGTGGGAGAAAAGAAAAGAGGGCACATGAATACCAGTCATCTGCACAAGAAATATCAGTTGTCCTTTCTGGGTGCATTTCCCCACCGAACCATCATGCATCAGCAGCACTCGTGGTGCAAAGGGCACTGAACACAGGGTGCCAGACAACACCATCGATGGCTGTGGCTTCCACGGTCCTGGCCTGCTACTGGCTGTTTGACCTTAGCGAAGTCACGGGTCTTATTGGACTTCCATTTCCTCATCTGTAAAATGGGCAAAGATTCCCTCCAACTAAAATATTTTATGATCTGTGATGTGATTTATATGACTAAACTCTCTGTATGGGAGTAACTATACTCGTGACAGAACCGAGCCTTTCTATGGTGAAGGATGGGTTGCCTTCACCTATTTCCAGTGAACACTGGCTGTCCTCTTTAGTAACTCCCAGATGGCAACTTCCGATTAATCAGCCCTGCCTCCTTGTCTATAAGGTGTTCTCTGGTATGTTTCATTCTCCACTTTCCCCCAGTGTTTTATGCAGCATTTAAATCTTTCAGAAGTTCTCATCTTTAAGAAAAACTTACCAGAAAAAACAAACAAACAGAGATGGAAGAAGAACTCAGATTAAGAGGCTTACAAGGGATCTCAACCAATCACCACGTGTTAACCTTATTTGGATCCTGATTCAAACAAGCTGATTGTAAATTTAAAAAAAAATTGTGACGTTTATGAGTCAGTTGGAAGTTTGAACACTCAGTAGATGTTGGATCTTAAATTATTGGTCATTATCTTAGGTGTCATCATGGTGTTATAGCTATGTTTTTAAAAGAGTCCTTATCTTTTAGGGACACCTACTGAAATATTTGCAGATGAAATACGTGATTCTGGGGGGCAGCCAGTGAGTGGGGATACAGAGGAAGCAAGTTTGATCATGAATTGAAAATTGTTGGAGCAGAATGATGGGGACTCAGGGGTTAATGATACTACCGGGTCTGTTTTTGTGTAAGTCTGATAGGTTCCATCAAAAGAAGTGTGAAATAACCCAAAGGCTTAACGGGGACTCATCTTTGCAGGCACATTTGCTGAGGTGTGGGCAAGAGCGGCCTGCCGCAGTTGCATAATCGCTGGGGGTAAATGTGGAAGTTCGTCAATCAGCAAGGCCGTAGTGGGGGCTGACTGGCAGCAAGCCCAGCGCTGTGTGGCTGTCATCTTGCCTCGAGGCCCATTTGCCCTCTATAAATAACAGTCTATATGAATGCTTTACTATTTTAACACACATGGGCCACAGCTGCTGAGCACGTTTGTTTACGTAGCTATGAAACCTTCTGTAAACACCACTATCTCAAAATCGCCCATGTGTCAGGAACATAAACGGCCCCCTTTAAAAATATATCTGCAGATGAGACGCGGCCAACTCCTAGATGTCTGAGTGGCTGGTGTCAGAATTTTCCAAGGTTTGATTCATTTTCAAAAATAGAACCACATGACAGGAAGGTTCTTGAAAGGTCACCTGGCATGTCCCTCTGACTTCAGGCGGGACCAGGCCAATACCATTCACAAAGGATGCGGGGCTGTTCTGTGTGGGCGTGGGTCTGTCTTCTGTGCAGGCCCTTCAAGGCGTGAAACAGGGCTCACTTCTAGCCTTGAAGGAGCCCACTTTCATTTTCTAAAAATGGAACCTGACCCTGCAATGCGGCTGGCGTTGGAAGGCAGTGCATCCACAGAGCGCCACTCCCCTGTACCGGGCCTGAGCTCCCAGCAGACGGAAGGACCCAGGTGGCCTCCTGCAAGACAACTTGGGTCTCCGGAAAACACCAGGTTGGGATCATCCTGTGCCCAGGACGCCTGCTTCCTATCAGGGAAGAGGGCACGGCGTGAAGGTGGCCATGTGGGCCTCCCCTCCTCCCTGGAAATGGCCTGCTCCTTGAGACCACTGAGCACAGCAGGTTAAGGTCAACGGCGACATTTTTGAAAGAAGTGATGAGCACGGGGAAGCTGTTTTGTGTCAGCTTGCTATTATCACGGCTCCTGATTTCCAGTCCAGCACTACAATGAATCATTAGATTCCTGTGAATTTGTTTTCCTCGAGTGTGCATTTGGTCCACATTTTTTCTTCCTATGGTTTTGAAAGATTGAAGAATTTTTGTCCCCTAAGGGGCCTGTTTAATGTCATAAATCCTAATTGAGCTTTTTCATTCACAAGGAAATAGTATCCTGCTGAAGTGTAAGGGATCAGTTGTGCTGGGGGTACTGGGATGAATGCTTCCCCTGAGGAAAAGACCAAGACATGTCCAGTTTCCAGACACCTCCAGAACTTCTAGAACACCCCCACAAGTCTAGAAGTTAGAAAACTACTTTTAAAGAGAAATGAGTAGCAGTTGCCTTTTCCCAGGGATAGGGTTGAGTGTTTGGATTGGTTTTGCTGGTAATTACTCAGATTTCTCTATGAAAGCTGTGGAAAGGCCAGAGGGTGCTCAGAGGCAAGTATCACTGTTAATTACCAAGAAAACCATGTTCCTCCCTTTGGAAAGGCTCACTCATTACCAGCTGTCATCAGAAAGACAGGGTCTGCCCCAGGGAGAATTTTGACTCAGGGACATCACAAAGATAATTTGCTTGTTCCAGATTCACTTATTTTATGAGATTGGGCTTCGGTTTGCGGGAAAGCAAAGCTTAACTCCTGCAATTTGAAGCTCAGATTAACATCAGTAACTAGAGGGTATGTCTCCAGTGGTTTTTGCTTCTTGAGCTTAGAGATACTGTCTTCCCTCACGTCCTCTTGGGGGAATTTATGGTGAAAAGCTAAAAAACTGCCTCCTGAGTGGTCAGTGGCTAGTGTCAGAGGCTGTGGCTCTGTGGCCGCTAGGGGGATCCAGAGTCCCTGTGCTCAGCTGACGTTGGGGAAGTTTCTGGTCTGTAGGAAAGTGACAGCTCCCTGTTTGAATTATTTCTTCTTCCTCCCTCCTCCCCAGCCTCCTCTCCTCCTCTCTCCCTCCTCCCTTTGTCTTCCCCCCCTCCTCCCCTACCTGCCTCTCTCCTCCCTCTTCTCCTTTCCCCCCCTGCTCCCCTGCCTTCCATTCTCCTCTTTCCTCCTTCCTTCCTCCCCTTTTCCTTCTCTCCTTTCTCCCTTCCTTCTTCCCTGCCTTACCTTCTACTTCTCCCTTCTATCTTCCTCCCTCCTCCCCTCCCTCCTTCTCTCCCCTCCACCGAGCTATTGCCTCACAAGTGCACCCCCAAATCAGGCTCAAGGTACAGATAGCCCTGTTAACATCTGCAGAACGTATGTCTTATTCCGCAACACAAGTGACTTTCGATATTCTTTAAAGCTACTTTCCGATTAGGTTGCTGTGCCTTTTGTTCTATGGAAAGGAGAGTGTTCTTACCACTGAGCTCCATGCAAAGCCCTCACATTTTCATTGTTTGCTGCATTTAAAAACCCTGTTGCAAAAGTTTCACACCACCACCATAAGAGAAATTTGTTAGAGGTTGTGACCTCGCCTGTTGGGTACAGGGAGGTAGAAACAGGGGACCCATGGCTTTCCTCTGAAAGGCATGACAGGATTAAGTAACTTGTTACAGGGTGATGAACAGCATGGGGCCAGCCTGCTGGTCATGCAATTTCAGGCAATATAAACCACCCGAACCTCAAGCTGAAGACTTAAAAGCACAGAAGGGCAGATGGTATCAGGAAAAAGCACACCTAAGACACTATTACTACCTCCGAGAACAATAAAGGCCTTAATGAATTAGGGTTCTGGTTTATACTTTTCCTGTGAGGCACTGTGGTTAGCTTGAGTCATAGCTGATGGCTCTGTTTCAGGGGATGTAACAGACAAATATGGGCAGAACCTGCTTTGCTGTTGTGATGTGTAACATGCAAATTTCAGGTCTAAGTGAAGACATCAGTAAAAACAGAACATTTTCTCTATTTCGTCAACAGATCATCTTCCTTAAACATCCCAGTGATGAGCCAGTAACAGCAGGAGGGCCAGCGGGGTCAGAATGAATGGGTCTTCAACTTCTTTTCTGCTAGAGTTATTTACTGTGTCTGCAGCATTATACATACCAGGGGCTTGGCAGGTCAAATGGAAGAGATACTAGGCACTCACTTCATACAAAAGAAAAACCACTGCTATCGGCCTTGAAAATGACTCTCAAAGAATGGGTGAAACTGCACTTTTATTAAAGCAGTTTTTCAGGCTTCCTTTGAAAGGCTTAACTGCCTTCTCCTAACTTGGTCATAAATAACCTCAAGTATTGAAATTAGCCATGTTTTAAAGACATTTAAGACGTGCTTTAGAGAAAGATCAGATTTTAATTTAGGTAAATATTTGGAGACTTAAAATATATTACATGGTGATATTTCATTGTTCATCAATTTATTTTCCAAGAGGCTTTTAAAAACTAAATGCTTAAGCTTCTTGGCGTACATACTTCAGGTTACACACATAGGCATACTATTTCAGGAAGCAAGGGGATGTTGTCAGTATTGAGTGAGGTTCAGTATTCTAGATCTTGCAATAGATAAGAACACCAGGTCCAGTTTAAAATGAGCATCTATCCCACAGCCATCCCAGGATAGAATACATCTTACCTGTGGCTTCCACCATTCCTTCCAGGATGACCACAATTTCCAGTTCCTCTTTCGGCAGCTGGGCTTTGGAGATCTCCCAGAAAGGACTCTGTTGGTTAATTTCGTGGCTAATGATCAGTGGTGACACCAGAAACAGACGGTCATCTCCTGTGTAATACCCTACGTTGATATCTGTCTGGTTCAACGGGATGAACTCCCCCTCCGAGGTCTGTTTGGATTTGATCAACTTGGCTCTGATGGAAGCCTCCACAATGTGGGAATTCCTAAGGTCCCCTACCCGGAACATCAGGCACAGTTTCCCGTCCCGCATAGAGATCACTGCATGGGTGGAAAAGACCAGGGTCTCTGCCCTCTTCTTGGGTTGAGAGATCTTTACAAACATGCATCCCACCATGAATGCATTGACAATGGACCCCAGCACAGACTGGATTAAGAGGAGAATAATTCCCTCCGGGCATTTATCCGTGATGACCCGGTAGCCATAACCAATGGTGGTTTCTGTCTCTATTGAGAATAAAAAAGCAGAGACAAACCCGTTGAGGTTGGTAACACAAGGAGTCCATGAGGGGTCCTCTATGTGGTCCATATCTCCCCGGATGTACGCAATCAACCACCAGATCATTCCAAAAAAGAGCCAGGTCACTGTGTAAACCATGACGAAAATCAAGAGGTTGAATCTCCACTTCAGGTCGACTAAGGTGGTGAAGATATCGGTCAGGTAGCGATAGGTCTCCCTCACGTTGCCGTGATGAACGTTGCACTTTCCGTCTTTCCTCACGTATCTCTGGATTTTCCTTTTGGTCCGGTCTCGGCTGATGTGTCTGGGCAGGTCATCCCTGGCCTGCTTAGGCAACTTTGGCTGGTGAATGGCCACTGGGCTCTCGACGTCCTGATCCATGGAGTCGCCCTCCAGGACGTTAGCTGGTGGTTTGGAGAAAGGAAAAGAAATGCTGAATGAAAGCCTGGCTCTTTGAGGACAATGGAACAGCACACTTTGTATGGGCTGGTGAAGCCAAACACCATTTGTGAAGCTATAAACAAAGTAGACAAAGCCATTTTTATTCCACGCCATCTGGATAGGCCTCTAGTTGACTTGGACTTCTGTGCTCTTCGATCTAGTTTGTGTAAGCACTTCACCATCCTGCCCACCAGGACGGAGCTTATTGCTACAAACTTGTGTCCCTGCCAGCAGGTTCTACTGAGTCAGCTCTCACAGAGGGATGCCTCCCCACTCTGTCTGAGATGTTGTGGCATGGGAGAGGCAGGAAGCTCTGAATGGAGTCCTCTTTGGATTCAGACAGTCTTGGCTCTACTACTTAGCAACGCTTAGTGGTCCAAGAGCCCACTAAGAGTTATGGTATGTTGTGATATCTTTTATGGCCTGTATTATATCCCCACCGAATCCATATGGGGCTTGAGCCCCAACCCTTAAGGTGACTATATTTGGAGATAAGGCCTTCAAGGAGATAGTTAAAGGTTAAATGAGGCCATAAGGGTGGGGCTCCAATCTAGTAGGACTGGTATCCTTATGAGCAGAGGAAGAGACACCGGGGGGGGGGGGGCACACAAGCAGAGGAAAGGCCATGTGAGACAGGCAGGGAGAAGGTGGCCCTCTGCAAGCCAAGAAGAAGGGGTTTCCAGAAACCAACGCTGCTGACACCTTGATTTCTCCAGCCTCCAGAACCATGAGAAAATAAAGCTCATTGTTGAAGCCGCCCAGTCTGTGACATTCTATTATGGCAGCCTGAACTAACAAACACAGTATCCAAATTCATGAGCCTCGGTTTCCTCATTTACAAAATGATCACGATACCCAACTCATAGCGTCGTTGTAAGGTTAAACAACACTGTGTATGTGATGTGTGCCTGTGTGCAAAGGACACACAATCAATATTTCTTTGGGATAAATTGTTCCCCTGTCACTTTCCTTATATTTAGGGCAAGCATCTTGAACAAGCTCTTTGAATTATTGGCCAAATCTCAGGGTTTAAAAAACATTTCTGGTTTTTGTTGGTACGTACGCATGCATTGTATTTTAATGGTTGATTCAATGCCGAGGTAAATAAAAAAGGGCGGGGAAATGTTCTCTCTCTTTCTATGTGCTTACATATTTGATTTAGTTTCTGCCTCCTCAATATCCAATATCGGTGATTTTAGCTTGTGGTTATTTTCTTATTTTTGAATTTTTTTTTTTTTTTTAGAGAGAGGGTCTCACTGTGTCATTAGCTCACTGCAGTCCCCATCTCCTGGGTTCAAGTGATCCTGCAATTTTAGCCTCCTGCCTGAGTAGGCACAGGGGGCACAGGCTCATGCCACCATGCTCGGCTAACTATTTTTATTTTCATGGAGATGGGGTCTCACTACATTGCTCAGGCTGGTCTTGAACTCCTGGTCTCAAGCCATCCTTCCGCCTTGCCTCCCAAAGTGCTGGGATTACAAGCACGAGCCATCACGTCTGGTTATGTTCTTTCTTATGGATTTCATGATTAATGCATTGTACACTCATTAGTGAACAATGCATTAGGAAAGCTCTCCTAAAACAGTGCAGGGGAATGTTGGACCAGATTCTGCTGTTTAAAAGCATACAGACTACTGTATGAAATTATTTATTCAGCCAATAATACTGAAATCTTCTAAAAGTTTGGTAAGAAATTTCTTGCTCCAGACTTAAATTCTGTGTCCCTTGACTCTGCCATGCGTTTCCTTTGTGGACACTCTGTTTTTATCTTGGTTAAAGGAGAAACATCATCTGCCAAGAAACCACTATTTATCTGAATAAGAAAATAGCTGGAGATGGAATCTGAGTGCCACCAACCTAACTTATGAGCTAACCTTGCTCATGGATGATCAGTTGCCTTAAAAATTAATCCCTTGGATCTGTTTTTGTGTTTCAGCCACAGGAAGAGACAGTATCTGTCCTGCAGAGCCTACTCTCTAGTCTGACAGCTTTGACTTTTAGATGATCACCCTCAATAGTCCTTCACTGGTAATAACAAAACTGCTTTATTTGTAAGAAAACTTGTTTTTTTTTTTTTTTTTTTCCATTCTTAAAATGAATACTAGGATGGGTGTTGATGGGAGGCTGCTGAGGGTGGGAGGAGGGGAGGGGTATGTGGATGGAGGGAGAGGCCTGTCCTGCTCACTGGTGGTGGGGTGGGTGTGTGGAGGGAGGGAGAGGCCCTCTCGCTCACTGGAGGTGGGGTGGGTGTGTGGAGGGAGGGAGAGGCTGTGTTCTGCTCACTGGAGGTGGGGTGGGTGTGTGGAGGGAGGGAGAGGCCCTCTCTTGCTCACTGGAGGTGGGGTGGGTGTGCAGAGGGAGGGAGAGGCCGTGTCCTGCTCACTGCCACCACCCCCTACATGGCGGGGTGTTCTTGTCCTTGAATGATCAACTCCAAGCTCTCACTGCTAATACTGTGCTGAGTACGTTTGAGATCTATCCTGTTTTTCTCAACTGGGTTTTCCCTACGACATTAAAAAGTCTCAAGGTACTTTTTCTAAATGTGACTTTATATGGAATGGTGTCTGGGCACGAACTTTGCCTGGCTGGGGAGGCCCTGTCCTCAGAGTCTTGTGAAGGCCCCAGCAGGCCTGGTATATATCCCATCTGGACCGCTGGAAGGCTGCCCAGCTGTGAGAAGCCACCCTAAGCTCTTGTTTTTCTAAGTCCTTAAGCGGAAGAAGAGGGTTTGTCAAATCAGTTCCCCCAGGGCTGGAGCACATTTCCCATCCTCTTTGCATTGAGGGTTGGCCTTGGTGATTGAGTCCTTGTCCATCTGGAGGTGGGTGGGTGTGCCTTCCTTGGCCATCGTCCTTAATAGCAGACATGTCCCCTCCTTATGCCCTTGCCCTTTCTGTGGGGGACAATGAAGTCAAGAGTTGAAGGAGCCTGGGTCCCGAGTCATGGGTGGAGAGCTGCTATCTGTCTAGACACAAGAAAAGCAATGATTGTGCTTGACTCATTATATATTTTCCACCTGTTTTCAAATTGAGCCTTATCTCTAATGCTATGGGCAGACATATATGACACCTATAGGCAGATAGAAGAGTGGTCAGGGTATCGGCTGTGGGAAAGAGCAAAGAGAGAAAAGAAAGTTGAAGATGAGCGTTTGGGTTTCGCGTTTGTAATGAATTAGTCTGTGGTTCATTCAATGCTTGTGTTTGGTATTAGGGGAAAAAGGTAATGCAATGCTACTTCATTGCTTTTAAAAATCAACGAACATTTAAAAACAGAGAAAAAGCCAGACCTCCCTGGTCAGGTGTTTGGCAGGTGGTTTTGGTGGGTCCCTTATAGGTGAGGCTGTGAGTGCAGGCCAGGTGCATCCATGGGAGGCGGGGAGGGAAGGCTGGGCCTTGCATCGTGGCAGCTGGTGGGAGGAACGGACATGGACATCGAGTTGAGAGAAACCAAAACAGCCAAGGAAATGTGAGAGTTCTGGCAGAGGAGAGACTGACGTAGGAGCCGTGAGGGGCCAGGAAGGGCACAGTCAGAGGGGCGGAGAGGTGTGGCGCATGGGGTGGGTGTGAGCAAAAGAGGGGCCAGAGCCTCAGGGCTGTGTCCAGAGTCATCACAGGGAGCCGGGCTAGGGAAAGAGGGCAAGTCCAGGGCTGAGCAGGGAGTGGCAGCTCAGCATTCACCGGCATGCGTGCGGATGTTGGAGGGTAAATATAGAAGGAGCCGATGATCTCGTTTTGTAACATTCCTTTCTTTCTCAGAATCCCAGGTGTGAATTTGAGCGGGGGATCTGAATCGAATCTCCAGGAGCGTTTTGAGCTGCTCAAATGCTCAGTAGGGCAAGTGGCAGCTGGGGCTGGAGGAGCAGACATTTCTCCCGTGTTCCCGCACAGCTGATGACACAGGCAACTTCTTACCACCAGGGATAATGGAGAGGGGACACCCTCTGCTAACCATGAAGTGCTACACAAATGTGCAAAGGGGCCCGAGGAATGGCGCTGAGAATTTTGACGATTTACTTCACTTCAAGAGGAGCTTTTCAGGATTTTGGCTCAGAGTAAACGCAGGCCTGTGTGAAGGCCAGTTTTTTTCCTCCGCTTTCTCTCTTCTGTTTCTTTCCCTTTCTCTTTTAGAAAAATGATCAATTTACATGGAACTAGCCAAGGTACAAAATAGCCTAATGTTGAAATTTAATCTGAAAAGAAATAATAACAAATGACAGAGTTACAGGTGGGCAGAGCCTTGTCCCCGAACCAGTGGATTGTGTTGCTGTGTTTCAGGTACAGCTCTTGCTGCAGGTAGGGCTGCCCTGGTGGCCCTGGTCTGTAGTAGGTGTTTCTTACATTTCAAGTTGTATATGAATGTTGCAGATGAAACTTCCGGTATCCAAGAAAACATTACAAAGTACCTTGAGATTTTTTAATGTCATAGGGAAAACCTAGTTGAGAGAAACAGGACAGATCTCAAATGTATGTGCAAAGTCAAGGATTGGAAGGAAATATACCAGATGTGAATGATAATAGAGTCATGTTGTGTGGGGGGTTGATGGGTACTTTTAATTTTCTTGTGAAACATTTTTCAAATTTTCTAGAATAAATTTATATCCCTTTTGTGATTAAAAAACCAAATTGTCAAGAAACACATCGAGACACTCTTTTGATATCTGATTTAAGAAATTCATCAAAGAGCTAAATAATGACAAAGCACTTGATCTGAAGGCGTCCCATCCCATGTAGCTGACAATTTAGAAACTGAGACATTTGCTTGACCTGAATCCAATAAAAGCATAACAAAACCCTACAGGGTCCTTGTTGGGGATATGAATCAGAAGGAAAAGCGAGAATGTATGCAAGTTTGAGGCCACTTGAGGAGCAGACCCATAGGAGAAGTCGAGTCAGCTGTCCTGTAATCGCCCGGGGGACCTTGAAGGAGAAGGGTGCCCAGGAGGCCTGGAGGCTAGAGGGGTTGT